TGCCCCGCCGCCCACCCCCGCTGCCGGGAGCGCCTCTACCGGGCGCTGGAGCTCTCCCCCAGCAGAAGGATCAACTGCTCGGGGATCGTCCGCGGGGACCAGAGAGCCATCCAGGAAGCCCAGCTCAGCAATCTGGTGGTGGCGAACAAAAGGGATTCCCTGACACCCGGCGAGTACCTGAACATGACGAAGGACTGCAGCAGCTTCAAGGAGACCCGGCGCTTCATTGAGTTCCCGCTGAGCCAGGAGGAGGCGGAGTTCCCCATCGCCTACTCCATGGTCATCCACAACAAAATCGAGATGTTCGAGCGGCTCCTGCGGGCCCTCTACGCCCCCCAGAACGTCTACTGCATCCACATTGACAGCAAGTCCCCAGCCGACTTCCAGAAGGCCGTGCGGGCCATCATAGCCTGCTTCCCCAACGTCTTTGTGGCTAGCCGTCTGGAAAAGGTGGTCTATGCCTCCTGGTCCCGGCTGCAGGCCGACCTCAACTGCATGCAGGACCTGTTGCAGAGCCCTGTGCCATGGCGCTATGTCCTTAACACCTGTGGCACGGATTTCCCCATCAAGACCAATGCCGAGATTGTCCGTGCCCTGAAGGTGCTGCAGGGGCGGAACAGCATGGAGTCAGAGAAGCCCTCGGCCTTCAAGCAGAAGCGCTGGCAGTACCACCACAAAGTGGGGAAGTTCATCTCCCGGACAGTCACGGAGAAAGTGCCGCCACCCCACAACTACACCATGTTCACAGGCAATGCATACATTGTGGTCACGCGGGCCTTCGTGCAGCACATCTTCGAGAACCCCATGGCACAGCAGTTCCTCGAGTGGGCCAAGGACACCTACAGCCCTGACGAGCATGTCTGGGCCACCCTCAACCGCATGCCCGGCGTGCCGGGCGCCATGCCCCTGAGTGACAAGTTCCAGCTCTCGGACATGAACGCCCTGCCGCGCCTGGTCAAGTGGGAGTACATGGAGGGTGACACCAGCAAGGGCGCACCCTACCCGCCCTGCACCGGCCGGCACCAGCGCTCCGTCTGCATCTACGGGGTGGGCGACGTGCCCTGGATGCTGCAGCAGCACCACCTCTTGGCCAACAAGTTCGACCCCATGGTGGACGATGCCGCCATCCAGTGCCT